TTAGTAACTACATTATTTATTTTGTTCATGTAAGAGGAGAAAAAGACTCCTTACTCTTCGTATCCAGCTGAGCACGATACTTTTCAAAGCCTTTGAGCCGAACTCGTTCTCCCAAGAGCTGAAGAAACTCTTCAAAGGCTGGACCTGCCGATTCGTTATTGTACATTTCCTCTTCTGTGCTTTGCCCAGCTTTGCAGTACATGATACCCACCTTAAGTTGGTAACTTAACTGCAAAGAGACAAAGACAAAATTTTGTACGTATGACAAGTGATATAATAGCTCATTTACTGAATCCACTTCAGACTGTTTTTTATTAAACCCTCAATTAACAAAGAAAGAAATGCCAATGATCAGTCTAACTTCCAAAAGCTTCCGATTTTCTGGAGGAAGACACTGCAGGCAGCAAATGGTGCACGTCTTACACTGAGCCACATGACTCAACAGTATCAGCTGAAGAACATCAAAACTTGACTCGCATTCCTCAGCTGGTACTGTAGCTGCTGTTCTATGCTAAAGCTCCCACAAAGAAAGGTAGGGCACAACACTCGCTCATTTCTGTAACCAGTGATAAAATCAACAGTCTCTCATTTTAAAGAAAAGAGAAATTATTCACTTATGAGGGCATCCAACTATTAAACATGTTTAAAGAATATTTTGCATTCATTGGCAGTAACAAAACAACTAAATAACATAGCAGAAACTAATCATGTGAAAGTAACCCATTTTTTAATCCAATTGCAATTTGAATCCTTCAACACATACTGTTCCCACTGATTCCAAACTGATGCATACATAAAAGGGCCATTACTACATCTTTTGTGTCTGGACTACAGAAGAAGTCAGAGATGGAAAGAAAACAGTGCTAACAGCCACTTACTGATGCCTCTCTAAATGATTTCACATGCAGGAAATCTGAGTGGCTGAGTGCAAAAGATTTTGAGAGTTTGTGCATGTAATAAAAGTACATAATCATTGTGGAGAAAATTTCTTCTCTTACATTTGCATTTTTTCAAAGCTTGCATTTCAAAAAAAACTATATCTGTCAGAACAAAATCTGTCAGAAAAACAGAAAAACAGCTAAGAAAAACATCAAGAGATACACAGGTATGTGCTATAGTTTACTGTGAAATGCAAACAGATATTTGTAAGGCCACTGAAACTTATCTGAATATACTGTGATTTGTTCTGAAAGTTCCTGAAATAGGTCACAAGACAGCATTTTGGAACTTGCTGAGGTGATGTGGACAAACTTAAATCAACTAAAATTCACTAACTTTAACCTTCTGTTCTTTCTCTAAATGAAACATTTTAAAATTTAAAATTTTTAAAAAGCACAATACTATTACTATCTCAAATGAATGGTGACAAAGTATTAGAAGTCAGAAAACAAGCAGGGGAAAGAAGAAACGTACAGGCTTAGTTACTCCTGCTGGAGAAATCAAGCACATGTAGGGAGACACAGTTCTGGGCCACCTACAAAACATTCTCTCTTTTATCCTCAGACACAATAACTACTAAAATTTTATCTTCTAAATATGCCTGATTTCTTTTGTGAAAATATGAGTACAACATATCTATTACTAATGAAATATCTATTACTTATAAGTAATACAATGTATCTATAAGTAATAATACTTATCGATCTATTACTTAAGGAAGAAACATTCCCAGGCCAACTTCCAATATTACAAGTGCGCTTCCCACATAATCAGCAGAGGCCCTGACAGAGACTGTTCAGAAACACTCATTGCTCAGATGTGTGCTCTCTGCCCTCTCCGAGGGAAATCTGATGGGTGAAGGTGTTTCTTGGAACCACAATACATTAACTGTTCTCCAAATGCTAGTTTCTAGAAATCTCACTCGAATTAGGACTAAGAAAACCGTTCTTACCAAGCGCGCCTACACTATTTAACTCTCAATTTTAGAAGAAGGAAAGATTTTCCAGGGCATAAACATAAAAGGGATCCTCAATTTCCAGAAGCAACGAAATAGCTGCTCTTTGTACCTTTGAAAATGTCAGCACGAAGAATTAAGGACCATGCTGAAAAAGTACAATACCATATTAAATTTGATGAAATTAAAACAAAACCAAAACCAACAGAATTCCTAAGGACAATACAAGATGCTATAGAAAAATAAAGCTCTGCTGGAAGAAAGACACTCAGCCCCCTTAATACAACTTCTTCTAAATCTAGGGTCTTTAAGGAGTATAACTCAAATTAAGAAAGGAGGAGTTGAAGGAAGAACTACAGTGTGGTAAAGCTTCTGGAGAAGCAGCTTCATTTTAATAATCTGGAAGCATTTCCATATATAAATATGGGGGAGAAGTGCACTTTCAGTATTTATCTAACACTCTGTGAAAGACAGCAAAAAGCACATCTCAGATTTAACCAGTCAGCAATTTTATAATATAAATACAGATTTACATTAAAAGCCAAGTGACATAGTCCAGTATTTCCATAAATTCTTATTGGAATAAATCAGCAACTGTCCTGATATTCAAATTTTTAAATCATATTAGAATGCAAACCTGAAGTTACTATGAACTATGCATTCAAGAAAAACAGTAGATCCTAATTAGTCAGGAAGGTACCACTGCCATACAGAATGATTGGATTGCTTCTTTATATAGAACCATTCAGAAGAACACATTCTAATAACACCACTAAATGAACAGCTAGGTGAGACCAATGTAGGCTGTATGTAAAGAACAGCAGATGTTACACTGACATTAACAATCTGAGGGAACAAGGGACATGGAACTTGACATAAAACACCAGTACAAGAACTGGGGCGAGAAGAGCTACTAGCCTCTGCAGTATATCTCCATTCTGAAACTGGACATCATATTCAGTTCAGATGTCTACTTTCTTATGATATGAAAGATTAGTAGAGAGAACTCAGCCATAAAAAAATACACAAAATTCAGAGAAAATATGTTGCAGGCAGAAACTTAAAAAGTGCAATCTGTTTAGTTTATCATAAACAAGACCAACAGATGATTTAATCACTGCATGTAAAAACCTTTGCAAAAAAATCTCACACCAAAATGACTCTTAAGATGCAGCAGAGAAAAATATCAGAAGAGAAGTCTAGAAACTGAAAGAAGATTATGAAAGAAGATTAACATCAATATGTACAAATTCATAAATATGAAAACAATTGCTTTAAAACCTCACTCAAGTATTAAAAAAAAAGATACCCTAGCTTAATCAAAACTGGCAAATAAGTTTTATTAAAGCATACAAATTTGTCTGAAGTGAGGGGCTATCGGGTGAAATTAACTAAGTCAGACAAGGGTCACCTTATAGCCTTAACTCTTAACAAAACCTCCTACTTGCTACATCAAACAGGCACCTGTTCATGTAGTAATAAAACAGTGTGACACACACAGCAAGAAAAAGTGATAAACAGTCTGTGTACCTAATTAGTGGAGCAGCTGTTACCCAAATTTGTTTTAGCTTGGAATAGATAAAAAATGCAGCTTCTAATTAGTACAGAGTGTGCTTATCTTTTTCTGTTGGAAGTGTCAAACTGTTTCATTACCACAAAAACAGAAAGATACTTTGATGTAGAAAGTACATTTTTAACTATCACCTGCCCTTAATGATTTTCAAATGTTTATGCAGTAGGAAAAAAAACCAACAACTCCATGCAACAACATACTGTAGGTTGTAATGACTTACAGGACTCAAAGTAAGGATATTTTCATCTTCAACTTTTGTAACTTTCTGAAGTAATTTTGCAAAAGAGCTTTTCTAATTAGGAATTAAATAGAAATATTTTCACAATGTATTTAAATTATCTTTTTTATTTTATTTTTTTTCCCCTTGAGAAGATTTTCAATCAATATTATTTAAATTTGAGGTTCTGGGCTGGCATTTCCATAAGGACCTTATCTTAGAATCCAGCAGATCATTTCTGGAGCCATCTTGGATTAAATTCCACCATTGTTTCCACTGCTGAAAAAGGAAACTTTGGGAAGAGACTGAGAGGTATGCCTGGTTCAAACTGTCTGACAAACTTCATTCTGGATGAAAAGCAGATTTGATTTAGGCTCAAGGAATAACTCATTAATACCAAATACGCTTTTGTAAACACTGCTCTAATACACCACAGAAAAAAATACCTCAAATCTATTAGTTTGACTGTGTGAAAGCAGGAAGTTATACTGAATATGAAATTCTTAAAAATTCTTTCTTTCTTTTAGCATGCTTTGCGTAAGCTCATCTCTCCTGATCTTAAGACACCTGTTGGCTCATCTCAGCGTCCACTCAAGGAGCCACTAATCCAGGATGTTCAGCAGCCACCTATTTCTTCAGCACATCATAGCATGCTCTTTCTGAAATAAACGAGCATACAAAACTAACTAGTGGGCAGAAAGCTTAGCTGAAGTTTTCCTTCCAGTAGGTATTTATTTGAGGATTCTCCATCTTGCACAGAGCAGCTGACCAAATAATAATGGTAGTCGCCAATATTTTTAAAAGAGCCACACTGTCCCCTTTGTGGTGCAGATAATTCAATCTTTTCCAATTATAGAATGGCTATATTTCAATGTCAGACTGACAGCAAGAAGAAATAGTAACAGATTTCAATTCTGTGCAGAAAACGCTGATTGTAAGCAGCAAAAAAGACCAGAAGACAGACAACAACTGTCTCAGTATTCAAAATAGAGCTGTTAAACGTCACTGTCAAGATTTTTAATAATAAAATTCATTTTACACACAGACTTTCATTTTGCTAAGCCTAAGCTATGCACTAATAAATCTTGGTTCCATTTTAAAAGAGACCAGGGGACTACCACTCAACTGAAAATCATCTGCATAAAGAAGTTTAGAATATTTTGTCATGTAATGTGTTTCAGAAAGGCAAAAATGACCCATAGGCAGCACACTAATGTAATGGTTGCGCCAAATACAATGTTACTATATTCCAATAAATCATTTGGTGACTTTGGAGATTTCTGTTTTCATTATAGCATTATAGCAGCAATAACAACGCCAGAGGAAAACAACTCCCTGCTCCATCTTGGAAAAACAATCACTAAATTTCTTTTAAAGTAAATTACAATGTATGCCTGCCATAACATTAATATAAAAAGTAAGAATACTTCCTGCCGTGAGTGGTTGGTTAGAGAATTAGTGATTTCACTAAAACCAAATATACTGCAAAACCAGGGAGAAAAGATACGCAACTCTCCCCATAGACAAACTTAAGTTTTAACGGGGCATTTTCATAAACTGATTTGAATCACTTAAAACTATAGGTAGTTTTGCAGTTCTGTTAGTAATCCGGAAGTTTAAGATATCCTACAACTTTGTACTTACCCCTTGTTCGTCCAGCTTCATAAGCTGTTCTGTGACTTTAGGAGTGTTGAAGGCCAGCCTTAGGCAATGAATATTCAACTCAGGAACCACATACTCAAGGACTTCTTTTAGGGGAAGTCCTCTGGCTGTGCAGTGCTTTGCAGTTGAAGGAATAGCATCTTCCAGCACAGAGCCTCTTAATGTCATAAGCTAAACACAGAGAACAAAAATAGCATGCATGTTGAATTATGCACAGAATCAAGGTTCATTAATAAGAGCACTGGAGCAAAATGTACTTTTCCATGATTCTCCATGGAGTACGAGGACATCGGGTACTTCATGTTGCATGAAACAGACACCGACATGCAAAATGTCACCCATCCTCACAGCTAACAGTACTCAGAATATTTCAAATTATTCACAATTCTTTACATTTTGATTTTGATTTTAGGAAAAAGCATTACTTGGAAAAGATTAGGAGTAACGTTTCCAGTGGAACATTTTTAAGTATAAAAGTATGCTCCTCAGGCCTAACCACCTGCCACACAGGAAACTGAAGTAATTTTCCTACTCTTTGCTTGTTTGTAGCTAGTATAGTTCCAGTAACTTTCTCAAACTTTAACCAAAATAACTTCACATTTTCCTTCTGGAGATTATGGAATTACTAATTCACTGTCATACTCTGTCTGTAGCATTTGTAAGGTAAGCTGTAGTACACCCTTTGTAAGGAAATTTTTGCATCGTACATAAAGAGGAGACAAATTTCTCCATGCGGAAAAGCAAAAAACTCCACATCCACACCCCATGTGATTTAGCCTGTTCTCTTCTAGTCTCATTTTAAATTGTTCCTGAACTGCTTACCTCACTGGTTCTGAAAATGATCCTGTAGTTGTACTGAGGTCCATTTTCTTTGATTTCCTCTGGTTTTTCTCTTCTTATGCTCACAGCTACTGGACCAAGGTTCTCATCTGCCCCAAAATAGTTCCAGTGTTCTTGCATATTAAAAACAAACAAAACAGGTAAAGGTCAGACTTACTTTCCAATTGGATTTTCATGCTGAGTTGTCATATTGGAAACAAATTGCCAATTGCACTATAGTCAGTTCTGGTACCAGGATTTTGTTCTCATCATTCCATTCTCTAAAGACCTCCATTTGTACAAAAAGGCTGAAATTCAGTGTTGCATTTTTAAAATAGAACTAAAATAGGATTCGTGTCTTACATTGGTTTTTAAAGTCAAATCCATGTTATACACACTGAGCTAAATTTTCCTCCCTAAAATATAAAAACAAGGGAGCCAAACACAGCAAAGTGAGAAACTCACAACTCCATATTAAAAATGAGCAGTAAACAGTCGTGTTCAAAAGATTTAAGTTACTTATTTCTGCATCAGAAAAAGTAAGAGACAGTCTTACAAGTTACTAAAAAGGTGAAAAACTGAAGAAGCAAGAAAATGAAGTCTTCTTTAAACTTGAAAACACAGACAAAAAGAGTAACATAACTATTTAACAGCTAAGTGTTAAGAGTTGAGTCTAAAACTAGTATAGCTGGGGTGATGGCAGAGAGGAGAACACAGGGTTGGAGAGTAGTAGCTGAGTAATGGGTTTTTGATGCATGTTTTTGTATTTATTTAATTATAAATTATAAAGCCAAATCTACCTATCTTGTCTGATGATGGAGGCACATTACCATGAATTCAGCAACTTATAAATGAAGCTGCACATATTTGAAATAACAACTGAACTTAAAAATACAATACTTGAAAAATTAAGAGAATGTCAAAAATAGAAGTGAAGCATTTTACAAGAAAAAAATCATCCTACATCATCCTATTCCATATGCTGCATGTCTGCATACATGAATGAATTTATACGCGCAAAAAAATGGAAATTTAGAGCTATCTGAAATTTCAACACTTGAAAGAAGAAATGTGAAATTCCCTGGAATGACAACAAGAAAGGAGATCTAACCATACTGTCTGTATCATCATATACAGATTATTAGTTATTCATAAAAGAACCAAAATGAATTATTACTTCAACAGCATTCTGATACAAGCTGTTCTGCAGGGATGAAGTGCAAAATATTTGAATATCACCATCAAGAATTGCATCTGCAAATATACTAAAAATAGATAGCAAAACACACTCCTTCTCAAGTGAATGGCAGTAATTTTTCCAAAGCATAAATCACTATCTTAAAAATCTGAGTGCATTAAAAAAAAAATTCTTTTAATTAACCTTGCCGATTCTTGTTATACTTTCCTCCAACAGTTTCCACACTTTTCAAGTAGGTTCCCTCTCCTCGTGAAGCCATGCATGCCCTAGAATTACACCTTTATTTTCACAAAGAGGGGCTGGGCTGTTCTGAGGTCTCTATACTATCATCCTGTGTTTTGTCAGTGTTTTCCTTTTAAAGATTTCAGAGCATAAAAGACCCAAAAGAAAGCAAGTATGCTTTCTACCAAATTCCTCTGTAAGTCCTCAAGAGCCAATACCCTGCACAGAGGTAATTAACATTCGAAATTCTTTTTCTATCCTGTAGGATAACCTGTAAATATTTTCATAGGTCTTGAGCGACTGAATTAGTAGAAAGTGAGGAAATCAGGAATAAGTTGAAGCATATACATAAGCCTAATGAAATCTCTATATCACTCCATTGATAAAAGCGCTATAGATGCCACAGAGAATTTCTGTTGTTTAAAAATCCAAGACATCTTATTACCATCCTATATTTTTTCACCCCAGGATGTTTTTAACTCTTCAAACAGTCTGCTGCAGAGAGAGGCAAGAGCGATCACTGAGAATACAAGACCAACTTTCCACCTGAGGGAAATTTTCCGTCAGCACAGTCTGCAGCTTCCAAAACCTGAGCAAGCTTTGCTATCTCCACCCTAACTTAGCTTGGTGGATTAAAAACATTGCACAATATATATATAACTTTACTTACACAACAGAAAATGCTAGAGAAACAAAGGTAAGTTGTTGTTAATACCTACTAAGAGAGTCCAAAAATTACACTAGAGTCTCTTTTGCATCTATCATCCAAGTAATAACACCTGTAACAAATAATCTATTCCTTCCACGTAATTATAGATTCCAGCCAAATCTATAGATTCTATAGATTATAGATTCCAGCCGAGTCACCATGAGCATCTCACCAAATTATCTTGAAATTAAAATGGACCGTGTCTGTGAAACTACTTTCATTCAGTAACCTTTTTATTTTTTTAAAGACTCAAAGATTAAAAGGGCTTTGACTACCCAAGCCACCTTTCTTCACTTTCATCAGAGATATTCATAATAGAGATGCAACCTCCTCTTCACATAAAGAGTTTCTACATCATCACTTGTTCCACATTACAGAAAACTGTCAATTACAACTGATTTTACTTGATTTTTTGCTCCTCATGGCCTACTTGAAGTTTTATCAGAATCACACCTCTGGGGGAAGGACAGTAGGGAAAAAAAAAATGTTTTTGTTTTTTTTTTGTTTTTTGTTTTTTTTTATAACTGTGGGGCTTCGGCATATCTAACAACATATCTGAAGGATGTCTTTTTACAGAAGCCAACAACAAAATCACTGGCAAGAAAAATTTCCCTGGCTCATATTCTATAAACAAACACAAGTACAGTCATTTTAAAATTCAGGTAAAAGCCATTTTTTAAAAATTTCTTTAAGCCATAAAACTAATAAAAAAAGAAATCACAGCTCCTCCTCTCCACTTAGCCCCAACATATACACTCATCGATGCTATCACCTCGTACCTGGGTACCTCCCACAACTAGCCTTAGGACTAGATTATGTTAGTTTATCTAATTCATGTTAATAACTACTAGAAATAAATGAAAATATAATGGTGGCTGCCAAGAGACTAGCATGAAGGTGTGCTTTCCCTTTGGAAATGGCCTCAGTGCTGTGACCCTGCTCACACCTTCTTCCTGTCGTACTATTTGCTTTCCCTGCTCACCTGGCACTGGCTTTTAGCATTTTTGATTGCAAGGAAACCTGATTTGACTCACCAGAACTGAAAAAAACAAAACAAAACAAAACAAAATACTGAACAATTCACAGAAGAATTTATTGCAATGGCAAGATTTCTGCTTGGTATGTAGCTTGAACTGTCCTAGCACATTTTGAGAAAACAAGAGGACTGGTAAAAGGAAGGGGCAAGAACAAAGCCTTATTTTTAGCGCTGAAACACTGCTCATCAGGTCAGCTACAACACAAAACTGCACTGCTTGCTGCTGACTGCTAATCTCTGACCAGAGTAGTGAGGAATCAGGTTGTGTCAGAGGGAGCATATATGAAGGGAACTGCAGACAGAGCTCTCTAAGCACACACTCTCCCCTCCAAACATACTTCATCCTGTACCATGCATCTGGCTTACAAGTAATCAATACTTTTCAGCACTCTTTTCTCTCCAAATGATGCGGACCAGCACTCTCAAAAAACGTTCAGCAATGTCTGTCTCTCAGCCCTAAAAGACTGCAGAAGGAAGAGATGTGACAAGAGCCAATGCAGGAAAGAAGAGACAAGAGATGGACATACACCAAGAGGCAAGGGAAAAATGGGAGATGAGATCATTAGCTGTAATCCACAGTTAATGAGCTGAAGTTTCTCTGGAATGACCATCCACTTATTTTAACTAGACATTCCTGTTGCTTTAATCTGCAGGAAACAAGCTCTTTAGAGCTGCCTTCATTAAGCAAATGAAACCCAATCCTGGACACCAGTATCTAAGGAACAAGCATTTGTCAGGTCACTCATTAAGCCAACTCTGTCTATCATGAGACACAATAGCAAGGCACAGACAAAACTGGTTTTTTTTGTTGTTGTTGTTTTTTTTTAAATTCAAGGGAACTTAGTCTGCAATTGTTTTTGATTTTTTTTTTTTTTTTTTCAAGAACAGAACAGAGTACGATCTGCATCTCAGCGCCAGAATCATTTTGGTGAGGTATCCGGATCACGTTTGGGTTTTGCTCATTCCTATGGAATGGAAGTTTTGTTCTGATTTATTTTCCCCTTCATACATCCATCAGAAATGATATTTCTTGGTTTCAACAGAATCACACAACAAAATGATCATATTCTGTCTTTTCAGACAAATTCCATTAGACAAAGCAAGTTCTGCAAGTATTACTCTTACACATCAGCCTAACTTTATATGTTTGTTAACACAACGTTATCATTAACATCATATTGAACGTTATCATTAGCACCAGAATAAACAAAATCTACATACCTTTCTGATAGAAAAATTTCCGGTAATAATATGCACCAAGGTCTACATGTTCAACAATGTATCTTTTCACTCTGTCTAGATGTAAAATCAAATTCTCCTTGGGAACTTCTAGAACTGCCACTCCAGCATTTGTACAATGAGAACTCAAAGTTGACTCAAACGAGGCACTTTCACATCCACTGAAGGAACCTGAATTAGATTTGGAAAGGCTTATCTTCCTCTCCCCTTCCCCACCAATCTCATTACGAAAATAAGGACAGCTCATCACAAGTTCATTGCTTTTATCATCCCCCTGGTCCATGTTGAGACTTCCTTTTGAATTCAGATCTTCAGTGCTGCCCATTGGAGAATTGAAACTTGCAGAATGGGATAAGGGCCCAGAGACAAGTGACGCTACAGCAGCAGCAGATGCTCCTGTTGTTGTGTTCCTTCTTTTAATAACATTATGCCTGTTGATCGCTGCTTCATTTAAATCAAATAAAATACTCTGTACATCATAATGAGCAAAACACTTTGGACAAGTCCAAGGCTTGACACTATCTTCTGACCTGTTATCTTCAAGATCTGAAGATTTCCCAAGCTCCCCTTCACCTTTGGCATTACGCAGCTTGCGAAAAATGGATGAATCTCCTGTTTCTGATTTTGAGCGTCTCTTGAGTGGCTTCTCTCTTTCCTTAAAGAGCCTCAGGTTCTCCCTTTGAGTAATAGGTCCATCAATCACATCTAGAGAGAAGCCTGAACCCTTGCTTCCACTGGCAATCAGAAGTTCACTGAGCTTAGTTGTGCCTGGGCTTCTCTGATCAGACTTTTCATCTTTATAGCCCTTTAGTAAGTCAAAAAAACTTTCCCCTGAAGTTCCCTGCTTATCTATTGAAGATGTGCTGCCATACTCTCTATGCAGAGATGGTCCAGATTTAAACGTGGGTGAAATACATTCATCAAAACTATCCACATCAAGCTCACTTATGGTAATGTCGCTGTTGCTACGTTGTCTTATTCTGCGAAGAGCTTTCCTGGGGGAACTGGGATAGCCATCAGGTGTAAGAAACCTGGAGTCTAGATTCTCAGATTGTCTGGTCTTGCTTTTAAGTGTGTTCTGGATACTCTTCAACATGACAGAATCACTAGCATTCAGGTTAACAGAGCTACCTTGACTCCCAGGACTGCTTTTAGAAGACATGCTGTCAAGACAACTGGCAGTTTCAATATCTTGACTAGACCTGCTTGTTTCCTTGATGTTCTCCTTCCTAGGCGGCCAATCAGCAATTCTTGCCCTGACCCCCATTTTGGGGACTCCAGGAGTAGAGGTAACATGATGGGAACTTTCATTGCGAGGAGGTCCAACTGGAGCCATGACTGCGGACCCTAAGCTGCCATTCTGTGACCTAAAGCGCCTCATGTAAAAGTCATCCGAGTGAACTTTTGTGGTGCCATCTGTTCCAACTGACACCCCAGTGGCAACAGCCCTTTCAGTCTGGGACCGCTTCAAGCTGGTCATGATCTTTCAGTATGTTCAACCTCAGTAAGTTCCAAAAGGAAATACAGTCATTTCGGCTTTTTAAATGCACAGTTCTCTTTTGGAGAATAGTCTCCAAAACATAAAATGGTTGCATGAGATCTTAACCGTGGACATTTAAGGATACAATTAAATGCAAAACGTCTAGAAAATGCAGATATTCAGTAGGTTTTGAGAAGTAGCAACTTCTTTTAACTTTTGCATCTTAAGAAGTAGCCATGTTCCAATACATTCAAGTTGTTTTAACATCACTTGTGCTCCAGAATGTCAGAGCAGCAATCCAGTTGTTTATGCTTCCTTTAATCCTAGAACAGAGAAAAAAGGTATAAAAGCATTAGTCATTTTATATGCAACTTTTGTCGTAACTGTAGCTATCAGAATAATTGTTACACAAAGTTAATATTTCTGACATATGTGCTTTTAAATCTCATTGACCATCTCAAAAATGCAGACTTGTGTTACACAGTGGTAAAGAGTTTTCTGGATATTGGTGTCTTCTTAAAAAAAAAAAAAAAAAACTTTTACATTTGAATTCCGTGCCTAAATATAAAGTTCTGCTTACGAACTGACTAGTGATATTTTTTTAGCTAGGCTATGGGACAGTTATACAAAGCACAAGTAGAAAGCTTATTTCCACAGCTGAAGGACATGTGCAACATCCATTTCCTGTAGAATCTATAAATGAGCCAGATCAGGAATCCAAAATTTTTTAGAAGGTTTATAAACAAAATAATTACCATTTGCAAGACACACATCCTTGGTTGCAATGAGGTATTAACAATGGCTATTCAATTTTTCCATTAATATAAATAATCATCATACACTAACAAAAAAGGAAGGAAGCTAATTAGCAAACAGATTAGAAAGCAACAATAGGGAGAATAACATTTATTCTGTTTTAAGACAACCTTATTTGCAAATTAACTGGTTAGTCCATAAAGCATGTATTCCCCCGCCCAGATTTCAGAATGTATATAAAAACTAAAGCTAAATAGAAACACATACTTTTAAATAACTTGATATGAAAAGCTTCCTTTATTTCCCCAGCTAACAAAATACCATCTGCCACAGATCCTGTATAATCCAGCTTTATAAAGCTATGAAACTTAAATGTTTTCCCATACCTCATCAGTACCAAAGTGATTACAAAGCATTATACCATGCTTTGAGGAGCTAAAAAAAAACAACCACAAATATGCCCTTGCTGGTGGAAGACAAAAGCATGAGATTGTCACGATAAAATCCTGCATTGCTGTGCACATCCTTTAACACAAAGAAGTTAATAATTTTCAAAGGCTGAACCAATTACACAAAATGTGGCCTTTTAAATATTTGCCAATCACGTATGCAGAGATGCTGCTGAACCAGCAGCACACTGACAGTACAGTACTGTCTACAAATCAAGGCTTTCTGATGCTTCTAGGGAAACCAGTGCTTCCTGCAGTCTCTTCTCAAAACTGTACAGTACTTTGCTCCACAGTAATGAAAATATCAAGCCAGGGCACTTTCTTCTTCTAAGACAGCATGTTTTAACTACACTAGTCATAAACTACACTATTTTGAAATAATAGCTCCTATTTATATAAAACTGCACATATAAGGAATACTCAAAATGCAAGCTAACTGCAATGCACACAAGCAGTTACTCTCCTTCTGGTTCTGCTGCACGAACTATGAAATAATGGGGCTTTTTTTACCATCTAAATAATTGGAATGATTTTAGAAAGACTGTCTACTTATGTAGCTGTTGCAAAATTACTGAATTTAAAACCATACCAATTTTAAACATCTTATAATTTTCAAACACAGTTGACTGAGAAGCAATGAAGCTGGTGAAATTTCATCTATAAATCAGAGGAATAAAGGAAAAAATAACTGAAGATTCTGCCTATGCTGTAGCAAAATATTTATGCACTAATTCTACGCACTGTATAGCCCTTTGAAAAGGTCTATATAAACTTGTTTTATAGGAATAATGGAAGAAAACTAAACTGAAAACTCAGAAGAGGAGGAAGATGAGCTACAAAGAAGAGTGAAGAATTAAACTGATGGTAGTGTTCCAAACAAGGAACAGCTGTCTACTTCCATACACTCCTCTCCACAGCCTGTAACTAAATACAAACTTTCTGTCCTCACCATTCCTCTTCTATCATCAATACCTATGAAGCAAAGTATATGTTTCCTCTCCCCCCCCCAACAAGTGCTGGTCTCAGAAACTGATAACCCACTTGTACAAGTTTCTCATTAACTCAAGGGCAGAAGTTCATGCATAGCTCTATAAATTCCCAAGCTTGGTGTTAACCATATAAACACTGAAAACACTGCTAGTTTCTGTGCAAGTCCATTCCATCCACCCACCCAACCCCACAGGGACAACTATTCTAAATAATTAAAGACATGTGTATAATGTAATCTATATACATAAATAATACTACATACATTAAAAAAATAAGCATTCTGCAGAACTTATTCTTGACATGCTGCATATGTGTTACATTCATTAGTTACACGACCAGACTGCACATCTTTCAAAGAAAGCACTTTCCCTGTTTCTGAGTCAGCATTGAAGATGCCTTACTCTAGAGACCCACAGTTCCATTTTCCTCATTTTTTTGCAACTGTCCTACTTCATATGCTGTAGCAGCTGGAATACAGGTGGCATGATTAAGGACATAGTTAATGGCACACTCTGAAGAATTGAATGTCTTGCCTATGTCTGTGTTGATATTAACTACATCACCTAAACTTAAGTTTTTTTTGAGACTGTAACTACCTTTCTGTTGTTGTTTCGCTAGAGTTTCTTGTTCCTGGTGTCTTGTTTGAGAGACCTAACAGCATGACCTGACTAGCTCCAAGCAAAACAAAGCAAGACCATCATGCATGATAATATTAAAAACTCAGCAAATTTACACTGTATAATAAATTTAGTTACACTGTATAATAAATTTAATGGAGAGTAATAACTGCAATCTGTACTCCATTGTTTTCTCATATTAATTACTAGCAAAACAGCATAGCAACAAAGTGTGAATTAATCTTTACTTAAATGACTACAAGTTTCCAACAACTAGATGGTATTATGCGCTGGAAACTCTGCAGGAAGTTAGATATTTAGTTGCAGAACTGCTGAACAGACACAGGATTTAACAGACCTCAAAATACGTTGTCTACTGCAATTAGTTACAGGAAAAGGAAGGCCTCTCCAATTCATCTGAACTTACTGAGGGAGCCAACAAAATATGCAGATAAGCAGCTACGTATTTAGAAGACAAATAAAAACCACATGAAAAAGCTCCAAAAAGAGGCACACTAAAATTTAGTACTGATAACTGCAATTTAAAAGTCATAAAGAGAACAACTTGGAAAACCAACAATCTGTTTATCAGATTGCATGTAACAAAGCAGGGCTGGGATCTGTTCAAAACAGTTCTCAAACAGGTCTCTCAAATCGTTAGGAAAAAATACAGTCAGTACATCTTAGGAGAAACTGAATATTTTGTATACATTTTCAAATCACAACAAGTTACAAAGCAAGCTGTTTTCATTCTTTCCCTTTCTGTTTCTACCTCTTTCATTAGTTCGCTCCCTCCTCAAAAACTGGGGTTCTATCTGTACAACAGCCTCTTCTGATCAAAACTGAAGAGTTTGGAGATGGATTCCAGAGAGATTTTCCATCATTTTCAAAAGGCAGATAAGAGATCTTGATTTGCTATTCCTCACACTTCAGGTTAGTCACCAGGAAAATGAGGATGACCTAACAGTAAGATTTCATTCAGAGGCCTTTGAATTAAAAGAAGCAGATATAAGCACTTGATTAAGAAATGCCTGGTTTAAATTAGCTCATAATAGTCAAAGAACAAACACAAAATACGGTACTCTCATCAGTCTCTATAGTGGATTCAGGCAGCAGAATAAGATAATCTAAAATGTACTTTTTAAGATGAATGGAAAAACAGAGATTAAGCCTGATGCATCAATTCAGAGACCTTCTACCATCATTCCCTAGATTAGTGTAAGTGGGATCATGCTCTTTTCTCTTACAAAGGAAATAGCAACTTTACCCACAAGCAGAACTCACTTGAAGAGATTTCATGGTTACTGTTACCTACTTGGATTTAGGATTGTCAAATCACGGATGCTAATAATGCTAATCCTCTGATAGTGACACGGATTGATTTGCGGGCACTGAATTATTTATGACTCATAATTTTCCAGAGGAAAGACTTCATATTTCACTGTCAGCCTTCATTAAGAAGTGTCACTTTATAATTTAAAAAATTTGGTGATGAGGGCATCACTTCTCAAATTCTAGAAAAGTCTCACTTTTGCCAAAACTCCACAACCCTTCTCTCTCAACCTACTCTTTCCCTCATCCCCAAATATCAAAACAGTAATATACCATGGTGGTAAATGCAGCACTTTCAGAGATATTCTAAAATACTGAAAACTGTAGGATGAGAAGCCCAGAATAGCATCTTGCAGCAAGTAGTTTTTAAAAATGTAAATGAAATCATCTTCATTTCACAGACTTTACTGAAATTTAGCCAGCCTGGGAAACTGTATAACAGACAAGTTACTGGTGGTAACTCTTGTTAACTTTCACTGGGAAAAGAACTGGCATAGCCATAAAAGCTTGAAACTAGCAGCTCCTCTGAAATCAGAAAAATAAATGAGATCAAAAAGTGTTTCATATGTGAAAGCCTTTTTTCTATTTGTGTCACCAGCTCTTGCTTGAATTGCATCTCGGATCAAATCCTAGGAGGAAAATATTAATTTATCAGCCGATTAAGTTATCATATGTACAAAATAACATCTAGTTTCATAAAATGAATTTCTCAAGAGAAAAATTCAATTTATTCTTAAGAAACACTTGGCTTTATGTGGTTGCCTGTAATTAACTCGATTCTTTTCTTCCATGACTACCTTCATCATTATAGCTGAAAGAAAGCTAAAATGCTTGTGTGTTTCAGAAGATTTTATCAGTTGTAAAGTTATTTGAAGAACAGTGTTGGGTATTTTATTAGCTTATCGGTTTTATTTTTGTTATACTGGAGGAGTTGCTAGTTTGGGGTTAACTGAACTTTTGACAACTGTTCAGATTTGCACAGAATGAAAGACAGATCCCCCTAAATTTTCATTCCCCTCCAAAACAAGGTAAGCCTGCTAGCCTCACATTTATGTTAACTAAAAGATTTGCCACTGATCTACACATAAGCAGATCTGCACTTCTGCCTTCTTTTCCTGAGTGTTTCACTGTTCCCTGACCTTAGGAAGAAAACCTCTAGTCTCAGGAGATCGAGTGCCA